ATGCCAAGTTTTGACTGCACCACTCAGTGTCCCCGGTCGAGCACTCTGGGCCATGCTATCGAGCCCACGGGGCTCCCCACATGTCTAGAAATTTGGCAGTCAGGGAGCAATGCCACCACTCCCCCACCCCCAAATTTTTGGACCTGTGGGAAGCCCCACATGCCAGATGACCCAGTGCTGGAGGCTGTGGCCGTGGCCTGGGGGGTTAAGCACCCCTGATCTAGGTTGAAGAAAAATGGTTGATAAAAGAAAATGAAGACGTGATGGGGAGGGACTGGCAGATGAATGAAAAGTCACAACAATAATTGATGAAATAGCCTCGCAGGATCATGCAGGAGACAGCAGAGCTGCCATCCCTGCCCCAGGCACATGAAATATGTCAGACCCTCGTTGGGATCTCGCACTGTTTTACCCTCAACTCACAGAGGTCCTGTGTTCTTGGCAGTCCTCCGGCGTTCATTCAGGAGCATTGTTGCTGCTGAGAGTGCAGACAGGTCCTTGGAGCAAGGCAGGGCAGGGTATTGCTCCGAGGATGCGTTCTGGGACTGAATGGGGCTTCCATGCTCCCCTGGAGCTTGACTGTTGTGTTACCATTGCACCGTGAGCCAGTGCCCTAGATGTTTTGCTGTAAGAGGCCATTAACATGGTACAGATTCAACCTCTGGTGCTGCCCTCTGAACAGAGCCCCCATGCAGCCTGCCTTTCCCTCCAGAGTGGGTACTGCAGAGGGTCTTGTGGCTGCAGATCCAAGTTTAGTGGGCGCACAGGGAGGTGGCCAAGTGGTAGAGTTTACTTTCCAGCCACAGTCCAATTGTAGGCAGGCAGCTGGCTGCCTTCAGGACCTGTGGCAGATCCTCGGTCTTACCAGGGAAAGTAGCATGTGAAGGAGACCTGCCATGTTCTCTGCAGGATGTGGATCTGGAGTTCCTGGCTAAGATGACCAACGGTTTTTCCGGAGCTGACCTGACAGAGATCTGCCAGCGTGCCTGCAAACTGGCCATCCGTGAGTCCATCGAGAGCGAGATCCGGCGGGAGCGCGAGAGGCAGACCAACCCCTCGGCCATGGTGAGTGCAGCTGACTGAGCTCCTCTGGGGTGGGATGCTGAGCTTGTCTGGGTTCATGCTGTTCAGGGTGGCAACGCCTCGCTCTGAGCAGCCCATGAGGTCAGCATGGTGCCTTTGTTCTTGCAGCGGTGGGCAGGGTAGGCTTCCCCCCGTGACCCAGGCAGGATGTCTGCCAAGGGGACTGTTCCCTGACTTCCTGGGTGGGGTTCTCTTCTCTGCTGCTACATCCCCTCTCCAGTCCCTCCCTTCCCCTGGATCATAGTGCTGACCTGAGAGGGGTGCTTGAGAGGCTGGAGAGGAAGCATTGCTTGCAGCAGGTGCCTGGGCTGGGGATGAGCCACGCTTCTATTCTTGCTGTGTTCCAGGAAGTGGAGGAGGATGACCCTGTCCCTGAGATCCGCAGAGACCACTTTGAGGAGGCCATGCGCTTCGCTCGCCGCTCCGTCAGCGACAACGACATCAGGAAATACGAGATGTTTGCACAGACTCTACAGCAGAGCCGTGGCTTCGGCAGCTTCAGGTAAGAGTAAAGGCGTCCAGGGCATGCAGACAAATAGCAGGGCTCCCAGAGACGGATGCTTCAGACACAGCTGCATGTAGCTCTGCTCTTCAGCTGGGCCTGGCTTGGGCGAGGGCATTAGTTGGAGCTGGTCCTGCTTTGAGCAGGGGATTGGACTAGATGACTTTGTACGGTCCTTTCCAATCCTAATTTTCTATGGTTCAGTGATTCTGTTCCACCTGTCTCCCCTCACTGTTGAATCTGGTTACAGTGCTCTTGTTTCCCATGCTGGCCCGGCACTGTTAAACTGTGCCCGTGGCAGGGGCTGTGCTGGGGGCTTGTTTGGGATGAGGCTGCTACAGGACTCTGCTCTTGAGGCAAGCAGGATCAGCAGCAGCACAGGTCTCTCTTGCTTGCCGGCACTATAGTGTTCTGTGGCTCGGAGCCTAGGATTTGGGTAGAGGTAAGGGCTATGCTTCTAGGAAGAACCTAAGCAGTCTCTTCTCTTCCTCCCTGGTAGGTTCCCATCCGGTAACCAGGGAGGCGCTGGCCCAAGCCAAGGCACGGGAGGTGGCAGCGGAGGCAACGTGTACAGCGAAGACAACGATGATGACCTCTACGGGTAATGCGCTGTCCTCCGTGGACCAAACCCCACCCAGGCCACGTTGTACAGGGAAATTCCACCGTTCAATGGACTCTCGGCTTCTTCATTCCTCAGTCAGAACAGTAGCTGCGGTCAGACGTTGCACAGGGGAGGTGCGTGTTGCGAGCAGGATACGATGCAAACCGGTGTTGGTTTGGGAGGCAGGCGGTGACTTAGCGAGGAGGGGAACTGACTTAATTTCTGAGAAATTTCTGTTCTAGTGTACATGGCAGAATCAGCAGCTTTAGCAATGGGTACAACGCTAGCCTGTATAAACCCACAAAAAGAATAAAAAAAGAATAAAAATCCCAGAAAATTCTACCCCGCCCCAGCCCCTTCCTTCGTGTGGCGCTGTCCCAGGCCAGCCCGCTCGGGCACCGGCAAACCCCTGCGACACACTAGCTGGGCAGAGCAGGGGAGAACTGTCCGTCTCTGCTTCCCTGGGCAGGAGCTGGTCATTTTTATCAACTCTCAAGTGTCTTGTCTGAACAGGGACTAAGCTGTGCTAGCCGAGCCCCCTTGGTGCCTTGGCAGTGGAAGCCTAGACCGTCTGCTTCCAGCAGCGGCAGGCACTGTGCGCACTCATTCTCCAGTTCTGGCTAAGGGGCTTCATGTTCCTTGGCTCTTCGAATACTTCCCTGTGTGGTGGCCCATGTCCCCTCTGCCTGCCGCTGAGCCCTTGGCCTGCTCGAGAGGCAATTCTCTTTGGCGCCAGGCACGTAGCTTTGACCCCTGCTGTGGGGCTTGGTAAGCCTGGGCCAAGCTGTCTGGGCATTCAGCTGGGCAGGCGCAAGGGGGAGGGAACAAAGGAGAGAGACTTCATGTGTCTTCCCTCTGCTACAGAGCAGCAGCTCTGAACCTGTCTGTAGAGGGGCAGAGTACAGATCCTGAGGCAGACCCGGAGTCCAGCCCAGCTGCTGCTTAGTGGGAAGCGGCACAGCCAGACTGGCAGCATCTCCCTGGTCTACTTGCCCACCCCAGGGGTAGCTGAGGCCTGGCCATCCTTTCTTTCCCAGTTGTCTCCTCAGTGTGCTGGCTCCTTCTCCCCTCTCCAAACATTGGGCTTGGGTAATGGGCATGCTGCTAGCTCACTGTTCTGTGCTGCAAGGGACTGCAGCGAGCCGTGCTGAACAACGGGGCAGCTTCTACAGCTTGTGGGTAAGGAAGGGTCATAGGGAGGCTTAACATTCCCTGACACGTGGAGCAGAAAGGGGTGGGGAGGGATGGGGGCACAACCACCAAAGCCCAGAAACCTGGGAGATCCCCACAGTACAGCACCGGCATTGCTACGCTTGGATCATCCCTGGCCAGTGGCTGCCCAGCCTCTCCTTGAACAGTGATAGAGTCCACACCTTTCCTGGCCTCTGTCGCACTAGAATCATCCCTGTCCAAACCATCCCAGACGAGCCGTTGTTCAGCCTCTTTGCAAAACTACTCTCAACTATTCTCACAGCACGAGATGTGACACCTAAACCTGCCACAGCTAAAGCAGGGGGACCACAGCCGCCAGTGTCCTGCTGCTGCAGATGTCGTTTATATACACTCAAGAGGAGGCCACAACCCCTGCCATAGAGGAAAGCAAAACCCCCACCTCCATCGTTGTAGGTGTTCCAGAAGAGGCTGGACAGGCTTTGCTCAGGGATGATCTAGGCATTGAGATGTCCATGTTCTACACTGGGGATGTCCCAGGCTTCTGGGCTTTGCTGGTGCTACATGTGCCAGCATGGGGTGCTGCTGCAGCCCAGGCTGGGGATGGGACTGGGCTGTGCCAGCGCTCCTGCTTGGACTCAACCCTGCAGGGTCCTGGCTAGAGGGTCTTGGCTCTCTGCTAAGGGTCCGACTGACGCATTGGGGTCAGGAAGGAATTTCCCCTCCTGGTCACAGTGGTAGGCACTGGGGGGGATTTTACCTTCCTCTGTAGTGGGGACACGGCCTCCGCATGGGGTCTCGAGCGCAGCAGGAGGATGCTGACAGCCTCGTCCCTGCTTTTCCTGGGGCTGGAGCGGGTGCTCTATCTTGCAGCTCTGTGACAGGGTTGACCGTAGTTTTAGTGACGGATGAGACGATGGATTTGTGTGGGATGGTTTGCCCGGGGCTGGTCCTGCCTGGAGCAGGAGGTTGGACTAGATGGGATCTCCCTGTCACCCTGACTTCGATTCGGAGTCAGCTAGATGCAATCAGGAGCTGGGGGCTGGTGCTTCCCTAGGCACTGTGGTGACCCGGGCTGTGGGTGACTGTCCGTAACTGGAAACAGCAGCCGTGGCCACTGAGTAGCCGGTGTAGGGAGAAGGTAGCCAGCCCTGGAGGGTCAAACTAGGCTTGCCCTGCATTGGCATCCGTAACAGTACCACAGTTCTTCTGGGGAGTGCACCTGCTATCGGCGCTTCTGGCTCCTCCTGCGGTGCTGGCTCTGGGGGAGGTTGGAGCCCTGCAAGGGAACGGCACGGCCGGGCCGCGTTCCTGCAGCCAGACCAAGCCAGGCGGCGGGGGAGAGGCGAGAACAGCTGATAAGCACGGGCATCACCGAGGCCTCGGCTGCTGTGGCGCTGCGTGGGCGTAACAAGGAGCGACGCGGCGCAGCAGAAGGAGCGCGCTTCACTCAGCCGCTGCGTGGGCTGGCACAGAGACGGCTGTGGCACGGAGCAGGTCCCCGGAGGGGAGGCAGCCTAGACCGGGGTGGGCGAAGACCAGCCCAATCCTGCCGGTGGCCAGCCTTCCCTGCAGCCTACCCCCTGGCTCGGCAGGAGCACTCTCTCCTGAGTGCAGCCAGCTTGTTGCCAGCCTGGGCTGGCATCAGCGTCCTCTCGCCCTTCGCTGCGCTCGCCCCTTGAGGGTCCTGGTGGAAAACAGGCACAGGGTGAGAGGCATTAAACCTGGGCTAACCCCGTCAGGGGCATGAGCCCTGGGGCCTCTTGCCTTTTCCTGTATCACAGGGCCCCTGTGCCCAGCTGGGCAAGCAGCAGTCCCCACTTCAGGCGTGGCTACCAGCTCAGCAGCCACTGGCCCCAGCATGAGGGCTTGGAGCCGGGGCTAGCGCAGCGCTGGGATGTTTGTAACTCTTGCCAGACTCGGGAGGGAGCCTGCTTGTGTCGGGGAACTGGCTATTTGAAGTGTCACCAGGCTGGCGGCAGGGCCCTGCTATGGGGCTAGTTCAGGGGTGAGAAGTGAAGACCTGGCTCAGCAAAAGCAGGCTCCAAAAGCAGGGTTAAAGTCCCAGTGTGCCATGCTCTCTGTCCCAGCTCTGGCAAGACCCAAACTCCTTCCTTCCCCTGCCCTTCTGAGGCGGGATGTCCTCCCACGAGCTCCCGATCCCTGCATCCTTCTGCAGCTTGTCTTCCCCCCCCCCCCCCCTCCTTGCCCCCCCCCCCCAGCGCCCCTGGCCCTCTGCAGCTTGTCTTCCCCCCCCCCAGCCTGCTTGCCCTCCACTCGCAGCGCTCCTGGCCCCCACAGGCTGTCTCCACGGCTTGTGCAGGCATCCCTCGCTCTTCTCTTCTTCCCACCTCCTCCACTCTGGTCTGCGTGAACCTCATTTCTGCGTCTTGTGGCCAGCTGCAACCCGTCTTCCTTAGCCCCTTGCCCTTTGAGCTGGGCAGGGCGAACAGGCTCTACCGAACCCTGAAGGTGGCTGACTTTGCCTCCTGGGGGCTGTTATCCCACCCAGCCCTTCCACCCTGAGCTGAGATGCTGAAGCCTGCATTGGACCTAAGCTTGCATGCAACCCTTGGATTCCTTCCTGCAATGTGTCAGCGGGGCTTGCTGCCTAGCCCAGACCTTAAATGAGGCCAAGAGCACGTAGAAACCCTAGAGCTGGGTGATGGGCAGGGACCCGAGACAGGATCAGCTCTGTCCCAACCAGCCCAGACACAGCCAGTGTCCAGCCTTTGAGCAGCACAGCACCGTCACCCTGACATGGCACCAGGCATCACCCCCAACCCTGCTGCAGGGAAGGCAGGGGGGCCGCGGGGTTTATAGGCACTCTGGAGACCCCAGACTCTGGCCGTGCCCCTGCTGCAGAGGAAGGCAAACCCCCCGGTCCAGAGCAGTCTGAGCAGGGAGGAAATCCCTTCTTGCCCCCAGTGCAACGTCCGTCTGAGCCTGGGCGCAGGGGCAAGACCCTCCAGCCAGGACCCTGTGAGGTTGGTGCTAGCAGGAGCATTGGCACAGCCCAGTCCCCAGCCCCAGCCCAGGCTGCAGCACCCAGTTCCCCTGAGGACCCCCCCTGACACACGGAGCAGAAGGAGTGTAGCTCGGGTCTGCAGAGCAGCAGTCTGGGACAGCCCATTTTGGGAGGGCAACAGCTCCCCGCTGCTGCGCTGAAGCACATTTTTGGATTGAGAGGAAACTGAGGCACGGAGAGGTTAGCAGCAGGCCTGATGGCGTGGGGACTGCATCGCCCACCCAGCAACGATGCAGTGCTCCGAGATGCAGCCCTGCTGGGGGCTGGCGGAGACCCAGCCCCTCCGTGAGCCTGGGCCCGTCTGCAGGCTCAGAGCCAAGAGGCAGCCCCCATGCTCCCGGGGGGAGTTCAGAGTGCCATGTGTCCCCCAGTCCCTCTGGCCAGGCCAGAGGTGGGGGCCACAGCCAGGGCTGCCCCCAGCTCTGGAGGCCGGATCCCCACGCCCAGACCATAGGCAGCGCGTTGCAGCCTGGAGCACTGAGACCCGGGGCCCGACCCAGGGAGGTACCACCCCCTCCAAGGGCTGCAGAGACCCAGAACTCGGCACAGCACCCACTCCTCGCCCCCTCTCCACCCCCAACCCCTCGGTAAGAGGGAGCTCCGTGCCCCCGGGGCTGCCGCAACCCCCCCAGCCAGCTGCAGCGCAGGGGCTCGGGGCTGGGCCCTTCGGGACGCG